TGGTTGGAGTTGTATTTTTTGCAGTGGTTGCAATGGTTGCAGTGGTCACCTGGTCGGTCACCTCATCCACAACTGCTGGACGTAGTGTGGTGCAGTGCAGCTGTAGTTGTAGTTTTAGGGTAGTGGAGTTGTAGCTGTGGTGTGGTGTAATTCGTGTAGTTAGTTGCAGTTGCATTTGTGGTGGTGTAATGAGCGTAGTGTAATGCAGTGTAGGGTAGTGTAGTGTAGTTTAGTGTTGTGTAGCGTAAAGCAGCGCAGTCGTAGTTGTAGTTGTAGTCAGTGTAGTGTGTTGTGGTGTGGTGTGGTGTGGCGTAGTGTGGTGTAGTGTGGTTTAGTGTGGTGTAGCGTAATGGAGTAGAGTGTAGTGGAGTGTAGTGTAGTGTCATGTAGTTAGTGTAATAGTGTAGTTGTAGCTGCATTTGTGGTGTTGCGGAGTGTGGTGTAGCGCAATGTAGTGTAGTGTACTTGTAGTTGTAGTTGTCATTGTAGTGTCGTGGAGTGTAGTGTAGTGGCAGTTGTAGTTGAAACTGCTGCAAAACCCGAAACGACATCTGAACGTCCAAAAGTGGTCCAAACATGTGTTGCTTTTAACATTTTGAATTCGAAATGGGCTTCCTGCCACAACAGCGTGCACCTTTTTCAACATGTAAACTTCCAAAAGTGCTCCTAGACCGTCAGTTTTTAACACTTTTGACTTTGAAATGTGCTTTGCGCCACAACGGCGTACACTTTTTGAACATCTCAACTTCCAAAAGTGCTCTGAATGTGGTGTGTTTTCAGAAACTACTTAAGGGCTGAAATTGGCATACCTTGAGGCATGCCAAGCCAAGGGTCTAAGATGATACATGATGCATTGTAGACTTTTGTCCACCTAGCAATATAGACCCCTGTAAGTGGAGTAGAATTAGAATAGCAAAGAACATCAGAAAATATCATATACATATAATTACATATATATATATAAACCAATCACATTTTTGGACGGCAAAATGGATATATATATATATATATATATCAGACGATTGCATGATTACTGAACCCTTCCAGAACCCGGCTTGCATGATTTCATTCCGTTTAGGTTTGGGCCCTGCATGTCCGCAGCATGCCCTCTTACAAAAAGGCTCACAAAAACAAAAACTGACCCAACATTTCACAGATGCGGATGGGGCATGATGATGAGTTGTCAAGCTTCTTGATTCTGTTGGCATTCTAGCAAGTACGCCGGGGACAGGGCAGGCGCAGCCAAGTTTCAGGAACGAGCTAAAACCAGCAAATCCATCCACTCAACATCAATCAACCACAAACCTATCCACACCCTCACTCCTCACCCAATAAAATTTTGTAGTAGCTTTGGAATGTCCACCACATTGTTCTGATACCATCCCAAAACGCATTGGCCGCAAAGAAGACAAAACATGCAGGACCGGAATAAAGGAAAAATAACTAATAGCCAAAGACCAAGTTTCAGACATGTTTCGGTGCGACCAAGCTATAAGAAATGAAGTCAACCAACCAACATGAATTGACTTGGTGATCAATGGGCGTGGGGTCCAAGGTGATTTCCTCCATACAGAGCCGTGATAAACCTCAATGGAACCAGGGGCAAATCATTCCAGACCTCCCCTAAGGCACAATACCAGGCTGATACCCACCCAAGAACACATTATATATATAGGTACACATTGCACACACCCACATTGGTCAAACAACAGGCCAGTTTTGTGAAGAGAACATGAAACACCACCTTTTTGCTTCAAGACCTGTTTCGGTGCGACCAAGCTATAAGAAATGAAGTCAACCAACCGACACGAACTGACTTGGTGATCAATGGGCAGGGGGTCTCAGGTGATTTCCCCCATACAGAGCCGTGATAAACTTCAATGGAACCAGGGGCAAACCACTCCAGACCTCCCCAGAAGCAGAATACAAGGCTGATACCCATCCAACAAAACATTATATATATACGTTGGTCAAAATGAAAAAGGAAACATCCAGCCAGTAGGATGAAGAAACAATTACTTTACTTCGTGTGATCCCCACCATGACATTTATACATTTTGTTACTGGCAAATCTTCTGGCATTCTATCTGGCATAGCTTCTGGCATTCTACCTGGCATATCTTCTGGCAGATGTTCTGGCATATCTTCTGGCATTCCATCTGGCATTCTATCTGGCAAATCTTCTGGCATTCTACCTGGCATATCTTCTGGCATATGTTCTGGCATATCTTCTGGCATTCCATCTGGCATATCTTCTGGCATATTATCTGGCAAATCTTCTGGCATTCTATCTGGCAAACATTGTGGCACTTTATCTGGCATATCTTCTGGCATTCTATCTGGCATATCTCATGGCATTTTATCTGGCTATCTGACATTCTATCTGGCATATCTTCTGGCATTCTATCTGGCCGTTGAGGTCCAGCGGTGCACACTGAGCTGGGCAGGTCCCAGGTTGAGGTCCAGCAGTGCACACTGAGCTGGGCAGGTCCCCGGTTGAGGTCCAGCGGTGCACACTGAGCTGGGCAGGTCCCAGGTTGAGGTCCAGCAGGTTGAGGTCCAGCGGTGCGCACTGAGCTGGGCAGATCCCAGGTTGAGGTCCAGCGGTGCACACTGAGCTGGGAAGGTCCCAGGTTGAGGTCCAGCGGTGCACACTGAGCTGGGAAGGTCCCAGGTTGAGGTCCAGCGGTGCACACTGAGCTGGGAAGTTGGCAAAGAGCTTGGCGAAGAGTTGGCAAGGCGGAAGTTGAGGTGGAAGTTGATGCAGACATAGTCGAGGAGAAACTGGAGGAGGCAGAGGAGGAGGAGAAGGCGGAGGACGAGGAGGAGGAGGACGAGGAGGAGGAGGACGAGGAGGACAGCTAGCCGAGAAGGAGAACAACTCTGCTAAAATCTAACAACCCTCATCTGGCAGGTGGGGAATGAAACACAACCTTTTTGCTCAAAGCCCAAGCTTTGACATGTTTTGGCGTGACCCAGCTACTGTTACAGGACATGAAGTCAACCAGCATATCCACCCAACAAACAACAATGGATTTCGTGATCAATGGGTAGGGGGTCTAAGGTGATTTTCCCCATACAGAGCCGTGATAAACCTCAATGGGAGGCACAAATCACGCTGATACCCATCCAAGAATACATTATATACGTTGGTCATTAGAAATTTTACAACCAGCCAGTATGGTGAAGAAAAATGAAACACCACCTTCTTGCTCAAAGACCAAGCTTTGACAAGTTTAGGGAGATCCGGCGAAATAATGGAGGCGGCTGAGTTCAGACTAAAGAGTGGGGTTTTCCATGTCTGGCATGCATTTGCTTGGGCTTTTGTACGGCCCAATAACTATCAATATCTTATATACATCATCGGACATTTATTTCAGACACTGGGTTAGTTATCCTCATATGTCAGTCACCACTTAGTTATGTCTTAATACTTTTTAACTCATCAGTTGATATTCATACATTTCATTTCATGTCCCCAAATATTATCTGTGCTCTTGCATCAAAATTTATCAGTATGTAGCTTCACAGGTAATCAATGTTAGACCTTCAGCTTCAGCATAGCCCCCCTGGTCTAAAGTGCCTCTGAGAATCTTCGTTTTTAGAATAGGTAGTCCATTTTAGACCACCGTCTTAGGGTCTACAATGTAACCACCAAGGCCCCCCCCCAAGTAGCTGAGGATATGTGTTTTGTACATTTTGACTTAGACATGTGCTTCGCGCCACAACGGTGTGCACTTTTTCAACATCTCAACTTCCAAAAGTATTCCGAACGTGAGGTGTCTTTATTTTTTTCACTTGCAAATGTGCTTCGCGCCACAACGGCGTGCAATTTTTAATCTCTCATCTCCCCAGATGGCTCCGCACCCGCCGCTTTAGAGCCTACTTTTCGACCCTCCCGAGACACAAATCATTGGAAAAACGTGCGCGGTCTACCTTTTCGCGTGCCTGGATTTTCTTTCTTCTTACTGTCTCTTCTTTGGCCTTCTTCTTCTCTTCTCTTCTCTTCTCTTCTCTTCTCGTCTCGTCTCGTCTCGTCTCTTCTCTTCTCTCCTCTCCTCTCCTCTCTTCTCTTCTCTCCTCTCCTCTCCTCTCCTCTCCTCTCCTCTTCTTTGACTCTTCCCATCTTTGCTTTTCATCTGTCCATATTGTCGGAAGTTTGACTTCTAAACTTCCTTCGATATCATATATATATATATGTATATGTATGTCTGTGGTCAGCCCCCCACCAGAACCTACCTTTAGCATTTCTTGGTGGTATTTACAGTTTCTTTTTTTGAAAACAACTCATATTTTGCTCTTTGCATATACACGTTTTCATCATGTGTAGAATATGAAGACAGATGAAGAGAAAAATGATGCATTGAAACTGAGAACATTAAGGCACAAACTGCAAGGGGTACTCATTCTTGGTAGTAGCGATTGAATGAGTTGTTTTTGGAGCCGGCTAGATCTGCCAGGTAGTCTTGGGCCACCTCTTCCAGGTAGTGGAACCGCATTGCATGAGTACATTGAAGCTGGGGGCCTTAAGATGCTGTATTCACCACTTTCGGTGTCGCATTTGCAAGAACCAGTTTTGTACTGTATGTGTGAGGAGGCACTTAGTTCTTTGCCAACAGCCAGGTCTGAGACCTACATTATTACGTATACAATGGAATGTTGGGGGACACATTTCAGTTCACATAGATTCTGCTTTCTGTTTGTATTCCATTTTAGAAGATTCACGTTGGCCTAAAACCAAGACAAAGGCGTGCTAAGAGCTATAAGAATTTGGTGAAGTTTTCAGCTACAGAATGCACATAACTGTCGAAAGGCTGTACTCTAGCCTTAGGAGTAGCATTTGGTTTTTGCTTTCAGCGTTGAAAATGAGCAGTGCCAAACGGATCATTGTGCTTTGATGCCTGGTATCAGCATGTGCCACGGCATACAATCACATCACAACAAATCATCAGGAATCTATAGTCAATGTCACTGTCAAATAGGGTTAAATAGGGTCCCTACCTTGCACCAGCAAGCTTGCGCCGATGCGAACCCCGGCATGGCCCCTTGCCGCAGCACTTCTAGCAGGCACGCTGGAAAAACCATATGTTCATTCCATTGGGCCTGTGGTAAGTTTGACTCCGAATCCTAGTGACTGATGGTGACTGTAAAGTGGCATACTTTCAATTTTCAAGCAAGTTTGCTACTAGCTGTTTGACCTGGCAATGCTAGAAAGATTTGCGGACAGCATGCGGCAGCCATCGCACGGACAGGTCCATCACCTACATGGCTAGCACACCGCAGTCCATCGGTGTGGCAAAGAAGCAGCGCAAGTGGTGCCGGCAAGGACAGCTTAAAGTTACACAGCCCGGCATGAGCAGAAGAGTTCCGACCGCCAAATCAACCAAAATCAACACCAGACACGCTCGTGCCCTGTCGGTTGAAGTAAGTTGGAAGCCACAGCAAAAGCAGAGCAGAGTCTAAGAGAGCCCCACAATTGTCCAACATATCTCCGGAATTCTCAATGCGTGCAATCATGTTTCGACTTACAACTTACAATTTTGCATTTGCTTCTGTACTGCACATCTGCATGTTATACAAGCAGCTCTCGCCAGGAGAGCCATTTGTCCAGTTTGCGTCGCACCTATCGATGGACCTTCGAGGAGTGAGCGGTGACATTGAGATTCCCATGTAGTATTTTGGCACTTTCTAATTTGAAACATCTCCCCCAGAACCGCAACGTTCTTCGGCTTAAGCCTCATCATCCGTTGGCGTGTGCGTGTGTGAGTGTGATAGATAATTAGATAGATTTTGTGTGCTTGGGCGGGTTGGTCGGTCACTGTTAGTCACTGTTAGTCCTGCACTCCATCCAAGTCCAAGTCCTACATTTCCTTTTTTCTCCTGTTGGAGCTGCCTGGTGAGGGTGCTAGGGAGGGTGACACCCCCCGGTGAGGAGTTGCTGAAGCAATGTCGAGCTCAGCACGGGGGTACGCAGACATGTGTTCTGATCGATGGTCCTTTACATGCTGCCAATGTCGGTTGCATAATGCGCCAGGCCGGCACTGTGTCTCAGGGATGTTCATGAGTTTTCCGTCATTTCTCTCACGTTGGACGAAAATGCTGCTTCCCACATGCTGGCCAAAATCATATTTGCAGCATTTTGCAGCTGTTTGTGATGTTGGGGGAGGGCGAGCTGCTACTGCAATTGCGACAAGGCAGCCGTGCTGCAACCTCCTGGCAGTGAGGATGGCATCTCTGCCGTGCTTCTGGCAGCTTCCAACCCACCCAAAGAAGCAAAGGTAGTGTGGACCTCAAGTGTTTCTTCCACTGATATTTCAAAGAGTAGATTGGATGAAGACATTGTTTTTACACATTGCTTGCGTCAGCATCCTTGTCTTCAAACGAAACATTTGGCCCAACCACATCCAAACGCAGGGATTGTCGTTGTGGTCGTCGTCATCATCAGCAGTTCGTCGCTTGCGTGTGTGTGCGTGTGTGTGTGTGTGCAACATATGTATAGATATAAAACTTCCATGAACCATCATGAACCCTCTGGCGATTCCTGTTGTCTCACCCCAGTGGACCATATGGCGATTCCTTGTGTCTCGGTTGAATGAACCACATGGCGATTCCTCGCGTCTCGCTGTCGTGAACCCCAAAACATATATGCAAGGGGATAAAATTCCCTTGGCGTGCCTCATCTAACAAAGACCGCACCAAGTGGATGTGACATCAGTGCCCGTCCAACACTGACGTGCCTGCGCTCTATATGTTTAAGGCTGTTGTTTATATGTCAAAGACTCCTGTGATTTTTACTGATGTGGCATGGGGCGAAGCCAAGAACCCCAAAGTAACATGTTTTGCCATTGGTTAAAGGGATTCAGTTCCCAACGGGTCACTTAAATGATCCAGTTCTTGTCTAGTGTGATCTCCATGGCTGTTCCAAAATGGTGCCATGGACCCATTTGAGCGAACCCTCTTTGGGGTGAATGCAGGCGAACGGATCATTTTAATCTGGTAATTCGTCTACGTAAAGTGAAACAGTCGGCTATTCCGTGTTCCGCCATTTTGTGCCGCCGCACGTGCGGCTTCTTTGTTTCCCGGAATTCTTCAATTCTGCTGAAGCTTTGCTGTTCGGAACAGCCACAAACTCTTTTTTTACAGACATTGCACCAGCATGACATACATGCATCAGGACAGGCTTCAGGTTCATGCCTTTAGGCGTGGTCCTCTTCCTTCTGATGGTTTCTGGTAAGGCTGATCAGTTGTGCACCCAAGTCGTGAAGATTTGACAATTTTGACAGCCGTTTGGGCCCTCCGGGCTATGACCGACTACTGTTTGTTCGAGGGAATAACGCACGACCTTGCATTGTGGGACTGAATCCCAAACGAATTTTTCCCCATTGGTCCTATAATTCTTTCCCCTAATCCCCCGCGCAATGGCAGTGCCTCGCCTCAGTGAACCAAAGGGCGATTCCAGGGGTCTTGCCATCGTGAACCCAACACATTATGATATGCCGGGCCGGGCCCTGGCGATTTTTGCGGCCTCGTCCCGATGAACCAAATGGCGATTCGTTGTGTCCGCAGTGAACCAAAAAGGGGATTCCTCGCGTCTCGCCATTATGAACACATCTAGGCCGGTAATGTTAACTTAACGTAAGGTTTAACATGGTTTTTACTATAGGATAAGTAGGAACAAGTTGGCTAGGTAGATGTTTGCTAGTTAGCATTATTATTAAAGAAACTTGAACTAGTTTGTGTCTGGTTAGCCTACTTACCAAGTAGAAATAAGTATATAGAGTATATTTTCCTGCAGTTTCTTTGATTTTAGTCTAAGTAACTTGTTTCCACTTAGATCTACTTATTTCTACTTATTTTTACTTAACCTACTTAACACTATTCAATTGATGTTTGCTGTTTTTTTCTGTAAGTGCATTATTGTTCTTCTTTTTTGTGATACTGTATTTTTCAAAGTAGCTTTAAGAAAATAGCGCAGATTTTGTGGTTCGTTTTTTTCTTGAGTCTGGTGGATGTTACTTTTGTGATTTGTGTAACGGTGTGGCTGCTTCTGGTTGTCCGTTTGATGGTTTATATTTCCAAATGTTTCTAATACATATGTTGCTGGTTTCCATTCGGCATGTTCTAAGCGGTGTGTCCGGTTTGAATTGGAATCGGGGTTTTGACGCCGATGTCAACACAGCCTTCAGCAGCGATGTCAACATGCGCACATGTAAACTTACAGAAGATTAGTACAGCCGCATCGAGCTGTGGAAAAGGTTTTGCAGTGCAGCGGCTTCAGTCTCGGTTGCAGCGGTTTGCCCGCTCAAATTTGACTGTGTGGCGGTGTGTCCGCTTTGAAATATCACGGCAGTGGTCCCAGTCTCGCTTGCAGCGGTATGCCCGCTCACCTTTTGACTGTCTGGCGGTGTGTCTGCTCAGAAATATCATTTGGTTCTTTACTAATGTCCAAAATATTCTTTCAATATGCTCCAGATACCCTGTAGATACTTGGTAGGTGGTCTTCAGATATTTTACAAATAGCACGTATCGATAGCACATAGATAGCATAGATAGCATATATAGTCTTTAGATAGCAAGGGCATGAAAACTATACCCCAGCCATCGACAACCATCGATAGCAATAGGCAATAGATAGCAATTGATAGCAATAGATAGCAATAGATAGCAATAGATAGCACAGATCGTATGCTATCTATTGCCATCGATTGCTATCGATGGCTGGGGTAAACTGTAAGTTCATGACCGTGCTATCAGTGTGCTATCTGTGTGCTGTCTATGTGCTATCTATGTGCTATTTATGTGCTATCTATGTGCTATCTATGTGCTATCTATGCATTTGTTCGGAATATTTTTTGAATAGTGAGCAATTTTTCCGGTTTTCCGAAGAACTTGATTGTTGCATTTCAGCGGTGTTCAGTTCGGTGAACATTTAATAAATCTGATCTCCACACTATACTTATTTCTACTTATTTCTACTTATAAGTTATGTGCAATTATATGCTTACAATCTACTTATCCTATCGCTATCTGAATATAGCACTTTTAAGTTGAACTTAAGTAAGTCTTAAGTAAGCTAAGTAAAATTAAGTTTCACCAAGTAGACTAAGTAGACACCGGCCTTGAGGCACTGTTGTCTCGCCCCTGTGAACCATTGGCGTGTGTCTCGCTTATTCTCGCTTCAGGAAACCAAACAGGCGATTCCTGATGTCTCGCTTCTTTACACCGCCCGCATTGCCGGGTGTGTGTGTGTGTGAAACATTTGTATAGATGTAAAATGTTGCCACGCCCCAGTGAAGCGATTCCTTGTGTCTCGCCTGAATGAGAACCAAATGGCGATTCCTCGCGTCTCGCTGTCGTGAACCCCAAAACATATGCAAGGGGATAAAATTCCCTTGGTGTGCCTCATCTAACAAAGACCGCGCCAAGTGGATGTGACATCAGTGCCCGGCCAGCACTGACGTACCTGCGCTCTATATGTTTATAACGCTGTTGGTTTATATGTCAAAGACTCCTGTGATTTTGACTGATGTGGCATGGGGCTAAGCCAAGAACCCCTAAGTAACATGTTTTCTCATTGGTTAAGGGGTTCAGTTCCAAGCGGATCACTTACATGATCCAGTTCTTGTATGTTCTTGTCAAGTGTGTGTGTGAGAGAAAATTGTGACTTATATAATTATGTATGACGTTAATGTGTTGGGCATACGTCAGGGTTGGCACTGCTCCCGCGGAACAGCAAACTCTGGGCAATTGCTAAGCAATTTAAAGTAACATATAGTTAAATACAATAGCGTTTTTATAATATTATAATATATCAATACCAGTAGTGCCCGCACGATGCGGGGCGGAAGTTGCCTTAGGGATATATATATATATATAAGACCTGTCTCATCTATAGAACTTGCATGCGCCGTGCGCCAGCCAAGCCCGTGCGTGCATTCTGCGAAAGTGGTGTCCTGTTTCACATGTCACATTTTCGTTCTCCACTTCGCACTTCTCGCTGCACTCTTCACACTACACACTTCACACTCCACACTTCACACTTCACACTCCACATTTCACACTTCACAGTCCACACTTCACACTTCAAGAACACGACCAAGAACAGTTGTTGTTGTGTCCAAGAACATGACCCGCGCGCGACCCCGGTGCAATGTCAACTGTCAAGCAAACACTTTCCTCACACTTCACATTGCATTCTTCACACTTCACACTCGACTCCACAATTCACACTTGCACTTCATTTCAACTAATCTCATTGCTCTTCTCATCTCATGTCATGTCTTCCCATATGTCAGCTAAGTTCTTCTTGGCTATTTACATGTCATCTCAGCGCAGCTCAAACTTTCTCATCTCACCGAAGCTAGTCTCAATTCATCTTGGCTCCTCTGCACGTCAGAAAGCTTAAGACGCAGATGCATTTACACAGAAGAATCTTTACAAAATACTTTGTTCTACAAAGCTTGCACAAAGCACGTCCCAGTACTACTTTGTACTGCAAAGCTTGCACAAAGCACTTCCCAGTACCACTTTGTACTACAAAGCTTGCAAAAATTACTTCCCAGTACTACTTTGTACTACAAAGCTTGCACAAAGTACTTCCCAGCACTACTTTGTACTACAAAGCTTGCACAGAGTCGTTCCCAGTACTACTTTGTACTGCAAAGCTTGCACAAAGTACTTCCCAGTACTACTTTGTACTACAAAGCTTGCACAGAGTCGTTCCCAGTACTACTTTGTACTGCAAAGCTTGCACAAAGCCGTTCCCAGTACTACTTTGACAACTACAAAGCTGACACAAAGCACCTTTCATCGCCGGCTGCAGCCACTTTACACAGAAAAACACAAGGTTTCGTGCTCCGGCTTCCTCCCCAACACAAACCCCATGCAACATTCATGCAGCCATTACAATGCGTTTCGCAGCATCACGTCGCAAACCTGCACCTATCTACGCACATGGCAACACCAGATGACAACAATCATGCAGCCATTCCAATGCGTTCTGCAACCACAGAGTCCAAAACACCCTATAACTACGCACGCACAAGCGCACCCAAAGCAGCTTGAAGCCACCGTTACAATGCGGCAAAAAAAGGCAAACCGACCGCAGCCGCAACCGCCGCAGGCAGGACGTACCTTTCATCGTCGGCGGCAGCCACTTTACACGGAAAAACACAAGGTTTCGTGCTCCGGCTTCCTCCCCAACACAAACCCCATGCAACATTCATGCAGCCATTACAATGCGTTTCGCAGCATCACGTCGCAAACCTGCACCTATCTACGCACATGGCAACACCAGATGACAACAATCACGCAGCCATTCCAATGCGCTCTGCAACCACAGAGTCCAAAACACCCTATAACTACGCACGCACAAGCGCACCCAAAGCAGCTTGAAGCCACCGTTACAATGCGGCAAAAAAAAGGCAAACCGACCGCAGCCACGGTACCTTTCATCGTCGGCTGCAGCCGCTTTACACGGAAAAACAAAAGGTTTCGTGCTCCGGCTTCCTCCCCAACACAAACTCCATGCAACATTCATGCAGCCATTACAATGCTTTTTGCAGCATCACGTCGCAAACCTGCACCTATCTACGCACATGGCAACACCAGATGACAACAATCATGCAGCCATTCCAATGCGTTCTGCAACCACAGATTCCAAAACACCCTGAAACTACGCACGCACAAGCACACCCAAAGCAGCTTGAAGCCACCGTTACACTGCGGCAAAAAAAAAGGCAAACCGACCGCAGCCGCAACCGCCGCACGCAGGACGTACCTTTCATCGTCGGCGGCAGCCACTTTACACAGAAAAACACAAGGTTTCGTGCTCCGGCTTCCTCCCCAACACAAACCCCATGCAACATTCATGCAGTCATTACAAAGCATTTTACAGCATTCCCTGCATCACCACGTCGCTTAATCAGCACTTCCCATCGTCACCACTTCCCTTCGTCACCACTTCCCTTCGTCACCACTTTCCTCCGTCACTCCTTCCCTTAGTCACCTTCCCTTCGTCACCGCTTCTCTTCCTCACCGCTTCCCATCGTCACCACTTCCCTCCGTCACCACTTCCCTTCATCACCACTTCCCTTCGTCATCACTTCCCATCGTCACCACTTCCCTTCGTCACCACTTCCCATCGTCACCACTTCTTCCCTTCCTCACCACTTCCCTTCGTCACCACTTCCCATCGTCACCACTTCCCTTCGTCACCACTTCCCATCGTCATCATTTCCCATCGTCACCACTTCCCTTCGTCACCACTTCCCTTCGTCACCACGTCCCTTTGTCACCACTTCCCTTCGTCACCACTTCCCTTCCTCACCACTTCCCTTCGTCACCACTTTCCTTCGTCACTCCTTCCCTTAGTCACCTTCCCTTCGTCACCGCTTCTCTTCCTCACCGCTTCCCATCGTCACCACTTCCCTCCGTCACCACTTCCCTTCATCACCACTTCCCTTCGTCATCACTTCCCATCGTCACCACCTCCCTTCGTCACCACATCCCATCGTCACCACTTCCCTTCCTCACCACTTCCCTTCGTCACCACTTCCCATCGTCACCACTTCTCTTCGTCACCACTTCCCATCGTCACCACTGCCCATCGTCACCACTTCCCTTCGTCACCACTTCCCTTCGTCACCACTTCCCTTTGTCACCACTTCCCTTCGTCACCACTTCCCTTCGTCACCACTTTCCTCCGTCACTCCTTCCCTTAGTCACCTTCCCTTCGTCACCGCTTCTCTTCCTCACCGCTTCCCATCGTCACCACTTCCCTTCGTCACCACTTCCCTTCATCACCACTTCCCTTCGTCATCACTTCCCATCGTCACCACTTCCCTTCGTCACCACTTCCCATCGTCACCACTTCCCTTCCTCACCACTTCCCTTCGTCACCACTTCCCTTCCTCACCACTTCCCTTCCTCACCACTTCCCTTCGTCACCACCTCCCTTCCTCACCGTGCCACTCCCCTTCGTCACCACTTCCCTTCGTCACCACCTCCCTTCCTCACCACTTCCCTTCAAAGCCACTGCCCTTCATCAAGGTCAACTGCATAGCTTCTTATTCTTTTGTTATGGTTTGTTATGTTATGTATTGTTTTGCGATCTACCACCCTTCATCAAGGTCAATTCCATTGCTTCTTATTTTTTGTTTTGTATTGTTAGATGATGTACCACCCTTCATCATTTCAAGTCTCAAATTCTATTTGTCCGCTCTACCACCCTTCATCAAGGTCAATTCCATTGCTTCTTATTTTTTAATGTATTGTTAGATGATGTACCACCATTTCAAGTTTCAGAATTCTATTTGTCCGTAACTCGTAAGTATTGCTTCCCAACTTCCTTTGATAATATATAAGACGCTATCCGAGTCCATGGCTAAGGCTAAGGCCAGCTTTCCTTCAGAGAAGTTCTTGAAGAATGTGGTCAGGATCTCCTTGGCCGAGAGGTTGGAATCGCTTGAAGCATCGCAAGCAACCCCATGCCAATTGCCAAATTCTGCCATCACTTTTAGAGCCGAGCACGCTTCCAGCATTGTCAGGCAATCATTGCCAAGTCCAACCCGGCTGGTCACACTTTCACAAGGCCCGCTTCCAGCACTCCGTGCTTTGCGGGAAGAAGGCATGAACAACGGGGCATGGCTCGGTGGACAGATCACAAACTGATGAAACCTGTTCATGCGGGACCATGCGGGATTGTGAGGCCATGTGTGTCCATGAATGAGATTTCATCGTGTGTAGCGTATTGCCTGGCAGACGGGTCTGGAACTGCACTGATGCTGCATTCACCCTTTTTTATTGTTGAACATGTAACTATGTCTGGCAAGTTACAGTATGTACAGTATATGTCCTGATTTGTGTGCACCCCCCCACCCAAACAAATGCTATACTCTCGTATACTCTCCATAAAGTTGAATTTTTAAAGCTGTTCCCCAGATAGCATACAATCCTATATATTAATATATATATATTATGTATTAATAAAAAAATAATTGGCGACAATTGAAATCTAATTCAGACTTTCTTTGCGGGTGAACTTGGGAGTAGTAATTGTAGTATTTGTAGCGCTTGTATGTTGATTGCGTTACCTTTTGCACCTCAAGGTTTTCATTTAAGAAGGAAGTAATAAGAGAAAGAGAAGAAAAAGAGAAAAAGAGAGAGAGAGAGAGGGAAAAAAAACATGTATAGTATATAGTTATATACACAAAAAGAGAAACAGGCAGAGAGATACGGAGAATGCGTTTCTTTTTTCTCTCTGCTCCAAGATCACCTCAGGAATAGGTTGCCGTAAATCCGAACCTAGGCAAGAAACCCACTAAAGTGAATTGGACCCTCTCATAGTCTAGTGGCTTGAAGTGTTGTTCTTTAAGAAGGGTTTGATAAGAGATTGGATCCGATAGGAAAGGCAGACAAGCAAGATGTTTGCAGACAAGCAAGATGTTTTTTCCGAAAAAACTGTTCACGTTTGATTGTTTCTACACAGACAGGCATTTTTCTTAGAACAAACACAGCTGTGTCAAAAAAATTGGCCACAATACCGAACCGAGACAATTAATCAGGGGTGCTGAATAAGCTGGAGATTTCTAGCCACAACAGCGACCCTAGACCCTAGCTACCAATTATAATATTTAATATATGTATATTCTCTCTCTCTCTCTATATAAATAAATAAATAAATATATATATATTATGTACATGCATCATACATAATATACCAATAGTACCGCACCAGGCGGTGGCGGAAGTTTAAAAAGTAGGAAACCTACAGGAGAGGTTTGTTGTTGTGATGCATGGATGCCAGACCGAAATGATGGATTGAAAGGTGGCTGAGGCTCTGGCTCTCTCTCTCGCTCTCTCTCTCTCACCCTCTCTCTCTCTCTCTCACTCTCTCTCTCTCTCCTTTCCTCTCTCACATTCACTAGCACTGTCAATCCATCTATTTATCTATCTATCTACCTGTCTATCTATTCTACCAATCTGTTTACCCACCTAACCATTTCTCTATCTACCTACCGACCTACCTACCCACCCATCTATCTATCTACCTGTCTATCTATATATATATATATATATCTATCTATCTATCCATCCATCCATCCATCCATCTATCTATCTATCTACCTATCCATCCTACCTATCTATCTTACCTATGATTCTAGTTTGTTCTATCGTTCTTTCTTTCTTTTCTATCAATCTTACCTATCTACCCTATCTATCTTATCTATCTTTCTGTCTATCAATCTATCTGTCTACCTAACGATCAATCTATCTATCTATCTTTCTTTCTATCTTTCTTTTTGTTTTTGAACTATCTATCTATCTATCTATCGATCGATCGATCGATCTATCTATCTATCTATCTATATCTATCTATCTATCTATCTATCTATCTATCTATCTATCTATCTATCTATCTATCTATCTATCTATCTATCTATCTATCTATCTATCTATCTATCTATCTATCTATCTATCTATCTATCTATCTATCTACGAGCTGCTTGCAGTGCTCAATGTAAAGCTACTGACTTGACATAGAATATGCAGCTTTGTTCAAAGAATAGAACACGTGAAGTCATATGCTGCTTTTGGACTAGCACACTGACAGCTACTGACACGCGCGCACACACACAGTGTCCCTGTTTCAGCAACAAACTGTGCAGGTTTTGTGCTGGTTGCTCTCGAGAACCTCGAGGCCTGAGCGGCGAAGATGTGCAGCATAGAAGTCCGTACTGTAAGTTGAGTTCTGCCAAGAGGCACAGTGCCTGACTTTCACAGATACTGTACTTAATGATATTTATTGTTTGATTATGTGTTCATGTCAGACACTTGCAGGCGTGCAGCCCATCGGAGCCGTATCCTGCAACCGTTTCCTTGTGGAATTTGCAGCTGCCGCTAAACGCGCCGCGCTTGGCATTTGTAGCCGGAGGAGAGGCGCAAAGTCTACAGCTCGATTTGTTGCAGCTTTGCGCACCTCGGAATTCCCAGCAACAGAGAATAGTAGCATTCACCAGCAATATCGTGCACGCGCGGTCAATGACTGAAGACTGAATTGATCCAGTGAAACGAAACCATGTGGAATCCAGAGCCAAGATGCCTTCTTTCAGAAAGATTTGAACAATGCTGAACATGTTTTTGCTATGCCCTGCTTCTCTGCATGATTTTCGGGTGTTTTGCAGAATGAAATGTTAAGCAGGCCGTCAAGGTTCGCAGAATAGACAGAACACGAAAGGATTCTCCTTTTCATGTGTACAATTGTTTGCATGCTGGCGGTATGTTGTCGCACTCTTGTGGCATGTTGGCTTGGCTTTGCTTGCCTCAAAAGCAAACAGAAGTGATGACCAAATGACCAAGCTATATAGGGGAGCAAAGCGCTAGTATGCACTAGTATAGCAATGTGTTCCACAAGCTGGCTGCGGCGTGCCCGATTGGAAGCCGGAAGCCATTGAATTCTGAGGACTGGCAAAGCTACATTCCAGCTGCGAGATGTCCTCTCAATGTCAAGGAGCAGAACGTAGGAGAAGAGACTCACAATCCGACTCTAAACTTGGCACATGCAGCCACTAGACCTGTACTAAGGATTAGTACGGATTAGTGGCTTCATGTCATGTTTTTTCTATGTAGGCAATTCCGTATCATATTACAGGCTTATTGTTTTGCTCGGTGTTGCTTGCGCCATTTCGCAATTACATGTACTTGCAAGGTTGTCATTGCTCTCTATGAACGGCGGCGACAGCTTGCTTCCCAACAAGATGCATAGTAGACTTCAGGACAGGACAGCCTGACCCAAGCAGCAGCATCCCGCAGTTGCTAGCGTATTCTTTCCCCAAGGCTGCATGATTGCCAAAGCAGTTTGCTTTCGTTCGAGTGCGTGTATAATTGCAAAAGCATGTCAAGAGTTGTACATAGACGCCGTCTTTGCACCAGCTCCATAGCAGTTACCAGGCCTTTGGCAGACACTCCGTCATCCAATTTGTTGCAAACTTGTAAAATCATGTGTAATATACTGTATACAGTATATCTAAATCTGCAGAGGACCGAATGGCTTTGGACAGCGGGGCTGCAGGAGTCGCAGAGGCAGTGGTTATTGCTGGACTCACAAAAAAGAATTTGCAGAACCTTGCTTGCCCCAAACTTCTGGACACGGTTTAATGCGAGCTATGGGAAGCGCAAGTACCAATGATAGATACATTATTGATGCGAGGATATGCCAGGTATATGTTGTAGAATATGTATCAATTTGTCCAATCTTGTTTGGGATGATTTTCTTTTTCTGACAAAGGTCTATCTATCCCTCAGGCATTCCTTAGAAGGAGTGAGTAGCCAACAGCAAGGTTCCAATAGGTTCTATTGTGTACAGCGATGTCCAGTGTCAGTGTGTTGCAGGCTTGTGGATTGCGGAGTGAAAGGCAGCCAAAGGCCAATTATATATACATATTCCACCTCTTGCTTTCTGCGCTCAGGGGTACCTTCAGCTTCCGCAACCTTGGAGATGGCTTCAAAAACCTTCAAGCATGAGTTTGTTACTTGCAGAGCCATTATTCAACTTTGGTGGAAAATGCCCAACAAACTCAAGTTTCAAGACCTGAGCCTGGGATAACCTGGGCCTAACCGGGCCTCGTTGATGTCCTCGGCTAATCCAATGACTTACCGCTTGCTCTTTGTGCAGGAAAATAGGCGTCAGCAGCTTCGAAAGGTGCGCAAAAAGATTAACCAATTCAGATGAGCTGTCGCAAAGCAGACCCGCCCCAAAGCTTGATTTTATGATAATGTATGTTGAACTGAGTCTTGGTGGGCGTGTGCCTTGCGGTGCTTTTCTTCCGCGTAGTTTGGTAATGCATTTTAGACAGTTATAGAATTGGTGCTACATTGCTGCTAGACTGTTCCTGGGCTGCTGGGGTGCTGCTGAGCGAGTGCTACTGAGCTGTTCTCAGAAACCGTCTCCTACTGCAACTACTGCTCAAAGAGCGCTTGGCAGATAGCTGCTAGCAGGCTTCTCCTGAGGCCTAGGCTTCTGCCCCACTTCTGCTCGGTAGCTGCTAGACTGCTACTAAACCGCCGCTGGGCTGCTGCTAGACTGTTGCTAGATCGGCTTCCCCACAGGCGAATGGTGTGATTCACAAATTGAAAGGTGTTGATGATATTGATGTGGCTCAGCTTTCCGAATGTAGAAGCCGATAAACGCCACAGCTAGATTCTGGCCTTGTATTTTGCATCGCTTTTGGGAACTGGGGTTTCCAAAGCTACTTTCTGACCTCGCTTGGTACCTCGTTTTGGCATCTTTAGGGGCTCAGTTCTGCTTTCTTTCTAGAATGTTTGTTGGGTTGTGTTACCAAAGCATGCATGAATCATGTGTTCACATGCCGGGCGCAGGCATCGGGTGAACGAAAATCATATCAAGAAACCATGCAATTGGAGGGCGAAAGTCTTTGGTGGACACTGGGGGCTGAAGCATCCTGAGGATAACGTCTCCCATATGTTTCAGAGATTTTCAGAGTTTCCGGAGCACTTTCAACCCTACTTATCAAGCGGTTACATAGTGAGTTGCATGAGAAACGCATGCCCAAAACACTACGATGGATAGGAATTCCATGCTGAACTGATCAAAAACAGTAAAATATGAGCCTCGGTCGAAGCCGCGTACACATGGGGAAAGGCATCACGCGGCTATGACTTAAGACGAGCGGCCGTGACTTAAACCATTTACAGCGTACACATGGAGAAAGAGGACCCCGGCAGTGACTTAAGACGAGATGCTATGACTCAACCCTGCCGCTTGTAGGGCGCAGAAACAATCATTTCTAGCATTGGACAAAGGGTGAAGTGATGTCAAGGATGCAGTCAAAATGATTTTGGGATACTGGGTGATAGGCACTGACAGCGGTTCAATGCAAAATATATCCAAATAAGTACTTAAGAGAAAACAAACTATCAATATCATTTTTACGCACTCGTACTCGGGTGTTGCCATCGAACCACGGATCTCAAACAGGACCTGAGGACATGACGGAAGCCATGACCCACCAAGGCAGACCATGGCTCAAAATTGGTTTCAGTTGTCCCTGCAGATCGACAGCGGCTCGGACTAGATTGCAAAATCAGTCTGAGTGCCTTTGCCTTGTGCACTGTTTCACTGCACGTCGTGTCATGGTCATGAACACAAGAAAGTTTAGTCAGAACATTTCATGCCACTTGATTTCAAGCAGGGATATGTAGAGTTAGGCATTCAGTTTTGTGATCAACACATCTCTCGGCATCTCAGAATTGTTTGAATCATTCCATGCATTGAGACCAGGTCTTTCAGAGGGAAATCGTCGCTTTAAGGACTGCTTCACGTGTTGACACTGTCACACTGGATGGAGAGATGGAAGGTTGAAAGCAGGGATTGTGGAATTTCCCTTTCCTGTCTCGTTCCAATTCTGGCAGCAGCCAGTTTCTCCTTCATTGTCGGGCTTCTGTATGTTGTTTTGGCTGCGCTATGCTCTTGTGCTCCACCGATCATCCAATGCCCGCAGCATGCAGCACGGCACAATATCTGTGCTGCCTCTCCACCGAAAGCCCAGCGAGGACAATTTGATGGAAGCCGTGCCAGCAGCAATTTTCTCAGTGCATGAACCATTGGGGGGCGATGCATAAGGGAATCGGCTGATTTATTGCATGACTGACAATGCACCTTGCATCATTCATGGCATAGAATCTAGAGGGTGCCAGAGTGGGGGGCGAGCAGACTGCACAGTCATTGAATGGACTCGGGAGAAGGACATGTAGATAGAACTCTCTCATCGGTGCCTTGTTTTGTTCTCGTTGAACATTTTGACCTGAGGTTTTCGTTCAAGCAATCTACAGGATGATGGTGCGACTGCTTACTGTCAATCAGCTTTTGGAGAACTACAATAAAGACAATCGTTGGGAATTTTGACTTTCCAACCAGATGCGCGCGGTGTGATCTATATATATACATGCATGTGTATGTAGACATTGTGACAGCCCTCAACAGACGGAGTTGGTGCTAAAATCTGTACGGAAAATATGCTGCATCCACATTCAGATTTAAAATTTACATGATTTTTCGATTTTACATGATTTTCCGATTTCCTGTCTTTCCTCCAATGTCTCGGAGCAGCATAATACAGCTCCGTGTTATTTCGCTGCAATCGCCAGATTGAATGTTTTCCCCCAGAGCAGAGGGCCTTGGCTTTGAGCAGCCAGGACTTGAGCAGCCTTGCGGAGATACAAATAGGATGATAGCGGGATTTTTTGAATGATATATGCATGGATATATGTGGATTTATGGGGGCCTGCAACTTCGACTGAGGTCCTGTGACTAGTTTTACTATATGTTTTACTGACCATGTGCTTGTTTGCTCTTCAGCGAGCAGCATCCTGAATGTTGCAACGTTTAGTCAATATTGAGCTCTTCAGCGGGTACAGGTTTCGACTGGCTATCATCGCGGAAGAAACAAAAGCCATTTTCAAAACAAAGGAAACCGGCTAGCACCCTCACTGTGACAACTCCGCACTTATCGAAGGAAGTTTTGAAGTCAAACTTCCGAAAATATGGGCAGATGGAAAAGCAGAGGTGGGAAGAGTTAGATTAGAGGAAAGAAGAGGCAGGCGCGGGAAAAGGTTGTTTTTTCCAATGATTTGTGGCTCCGGAGGGTCGAAAAGTAGGCGGAGCCATCTGGGGAGATGAGCGACGAAAATTGCACGCCGTTGTCGTGCTTCGGAAGTGAAAAAGCTAAAAGCACCTCACGTTCGGAGCACTTTTGGAAGTTGCAATGTCGAAAAAGTGCACGCTGTTGTGGCGCAAAGCACATTTCGAAGTCAGAAGTGCTAAAAACTGACGGGTTCGGAGCACATTTGGAAATCGAGATGTTGAAAAAATGCACGCCGTTGTGGTGCAAAGCACATGTCGAAGTCAAAATTGGAAGTTGGGATGTTGAAAAAGTGCACGCGGTTGTGGCGCGAAGCACATTTCGAAGTCAAAATTTGAAGTTGGGATGTTGAAAAAGTGCATGCCGTTGTGGCGTGAAGCACATTTCGAAGTCAAAATGTCGAAAGCCCTCAGCCTCGGAATATTTTTGGAAGTTCAGATGTCGAAAAAGTGCACGCCGTTGTGGTGCGAAGCACATTTCGAAGTCAGAATGCTAAAAGCACCACATGTTCGCGCCACTTTTGGACGTTGAAGCGTCGTTTTGTGTGGCAGGCACAAGGGATTCTGCACCTTGCCAAAGGTGAGCAAAATGTCGGGGTTTTGTGGCATATCCAAAACAATGGCAGGTGTGGGACATTTGAAGAGGATCTGCAAGGATTTCGCGTGGCAGGCGCAGTACAAGAGACATGTTCATCAGAGATGTTGAGAGGGGTTGCATTTTGGAGCATCAGATCTTCAGGTTTGCTAAGATTATTTTGCGTGACTGGTGCGGCACTTCGTATGGCCCGCCGCACACTTTTTCATGGCAGGCGCAGTACTTTAAGCAGATGGAATGGACAAATCGCAACGCATTGGCCCGAGGCCGCCGGCTCTCCCCTCAACTTTCCAATAGTCTCCCAGGATTGCTTCGTTGTTGATGTTGTCAACTTGAAAAATGGAGGAAGTCTCGCAGAATAGCTTCGATTTTGACGTTGTCAAGTTCAAAAACTGAGGAAGTCTAGCAGAATTGCTGCGCTTCTGATGCTGTCAAATTCAAAAATTGAGGAAATCTCGCAGAATAGCTTCGTTTTCAAACTTGTCGATAGACAGATAGATAAATTGATAGGTAGATAGATAGATAGATAAACAGACAGACAGATAGATAGAAGATAGATAGACAGCTATAACTACAGCTACAACTGCAACTAAATTATACCACCACTACCACTGCAACTACAAATGCAAACATACTACCCTACAGTATGCTAATTACCCTACTCTACACCAATTACATTACACTACACTGACAGTACACTACACTAATTACACTACAGGTATAACTGCAACTACAACTACTTGTGCTACCACAGCTAGGGCTACAACTGCAATTACACTACATGACACTACACTACACTAATTACATTACACTACACTACACCAGAGTACAACTTCAACTACAACTGCGCTACATTACACAACACTACGCTACACTAGTTACACTACACTACAACTACAACTACAACTGCAACTACAATTACACTAAACTATACTATATACACTAATTACACTGCATTACACTGACGCTACACTACACTAGGTACAGTACACTACACTAATTACACTACACTACAAAAGAGTACAACTTCAACTACAACTAAGCTACATTACACAACACTACGCTACACTAATTGCGCTACACTACAACTACAATTACAACTACGCTAAACTACACTACACTAATTACATTGCGCTACGCTACACTAACTACAACTACAGCTACAACTGCAACTACACTACTTTACACTACACTACTTTACACTATACTAATTTACACTACACTTCACTACACTAGACTGCATTACACTAGACTGCACTACAGCACACAACATGTCACAACACTACAGAACATTACACTACAGCACATTATGTACATTAAACTACACTACACCACACCACAACTACAATTGCAACTGCGCTACACTAATTACACTACACTACAACTACAACTACAGCTGCACTACATACACTACACTGCATCCAGCAGTTGTGGGCGAGGTGACCACTGCAACCATTGCGACCGTTCCAAAAAACACAACTCCAAACACCTTTTTGCCC